TCATCATCATCATCAACATCATCTTCATCATCATCATCGTCATCATCATCATCATCATCGTCATCATCTTCATCATCATCGTCATCATTATCATCATCATCATCATCCTGGTCGTCATCATTATCATCGTAATCGTCATCAAAATCTTCATCATCACCATCACCATCATCATCTTTTTCAGCATCTTAAGCTTCTTAATTATCATCATCATCATTATCCAAATCAAATTTATCGTCCCAATCTTCATCATCATCATCAACTGCGGAATAGTCATCATAATCATCATGTAAACCAACATCATAGTCCGAATCATCATTATCCACCGAACCATTACCATCGTCATCATCATCCGAATCATGGTCATCATCGTAATCATCATCATGATCCAAATGATCGTCATCGTATTCATCACCGTCATACTCATAGTCATCACCATCATCATCATCATCAACAGCATGATCATCATCCTCAGCATCATTATCATCATGGGCATCATCCGAATCATCATCGCTCTCCGAATATTCATCCCTTACTTTATCATGTTCATTGTCATCCTATTCATTATCCGTATCATCATCATCATCACCAACATCTGAGACATCATCATCACCATCCACGCCATCATCATTATCATCCGAATCATTTTCCTAATCATCAACATCGTCAACATGAACATCGTCATCATCATGATCTTCATCGCCATCAACCTCATCACCCGAATCATTATCATCATCATTTTCCTCCGAATCATTCTCATCATCATCACCATCATCAGCATCATCATCCTCATCTTCCGATACATCTTCATCATCATTATCATGCGAAACATCATCATCAACTCCATCTTCATCATTACCGTCATCATCCGTATCATCAGCTTCATCACCATCATCGTCGTCATCATCATCATCGTCGTCATCATCGTCATCAACAAAAACATCATCCTAATCATCATCGTCATCCGAAGCTTCTTCATCCGAATCATCATAATCTTCAGCCGAATCATCATCTTCCGCATCATCGTCATCAACCCTTTCATAGCGATAGCGTCATCATCATCATCATCATCCAAATTATCATCATCGGCGTCATGACCATCATCCGAATCATCATGATCATCATCATCAGCATCAGCATCATCATCCAAATCATCGTCACCGGCATCGTCATCATTATCATCAGCATCCATAACATCAGCTTCATTTTCATCATTATTATTTTCATCATATTCATCATCCTCATCAACATCAACATCACTATTGACATCATCATTGACATCCGAACCATCATCATCATTCGAATCATTATCATCATGCTCATCATCATCATCATCTTCCTTATCATCATCATCTTCATCATCCGAATCATCATGATCATCATCATCCGAATCATCATCATCATTCGAATCATCATGATCATCAAGATGATCATCATCTTCGTCATCACCACGATCATCCTGATCCTCCGGATCGTGAATACTATCATCTGCATCTTTGGCATCATCATCATCATCATCATCATCACCATCATCATCACT